GCTGCGTCTCAACTAGGGTTTTAGTCTTAGGTTGCTAGAACTAGGAAACTCGCCGTCAGCTCTTGTGGCCAAGGCTTACCTCGGTTTACCATTCTTACTTCAAATCGGAATAAGAAACCTCTTTGCTCTCTTTTCGATTCTCACATTACTTCAATGTTTTTATCGTATTTTGATGGCTTGCGTGTGGTTAAGCAGATATCCGGGACCTCTGAGAAACTAAGATTTTCCCTAAGTTTCTTTATTCACGGAAATCGACGGTATGAATTTCGGTTCCCACAGTTGTAAAGTATAATCATATTAAGCATTAGCTTATAAACATCGACAAGATCTCTTTTAAATCAAACAATTTTCTTTCCTTGAAACAAAGGTTGATCAATATTGTCAACTAAAGCTCCTAAGTTCATACTGTGTATGAATCCATTCTTACAAACCATGAATTGATAATCAACATGATTTATCAACATGATTTGAAGAAGGTTTAGAAATAAACTAAAACTGTAAAAATCTGTACATATTAGCTTGCTAGAGCTTTGTGCTGATAACGTGTTTTGATTAAAGAAGAGAAAACAAGAGAAGAGAGGCATTGGTGTGTCTTATTCCATGAATAATGAACTCCTTACATAGGGATACAAGATCAGTGTTTAGCTTGGGGAAGAAGTACAAGTAAGTCTTGATGAACAAGACTTTCTATAATCGACATCACAATAAATATAACAATTTTACTCTTGTGTATACGTTAGAAATCCCTTGATGAAAAAGGGTTAGTGAAACTTTGAACCTAATTCTTATAATGATGAATATAAATGCAATTAATTTTACAAATTCAAATATATTCAAATATAATTTTATTTTACTAAATTTTACTATATACATTAATGTAGTAAATAATAATTTATATGAATTTATATTTTTATATTAATGAAAATATTAATAATTTAATTAATATATAAATTTTACTCTTATGTACATTTAGAAATCTATTGATGAAAAAGGGTTAGTGAAACTTTGTACCTAATTCTTAAAATAATGAATATAAGTGCAATAAAAATATTAAGTTTTTAGATGTCCTTTGACGAAAAGGGTTAGTGAAACTTTGAACCTAATTCTTAAAATGATGAATATAAGTGCAATAAAAAATATTAAGTTTTTAGATGTAACAAAATAATATAAAAGGTGGATTAATTTATAATAAAAATTTAATAGTCCCTCTGTTTTCTTTTACACAAATTAGGGTACTTGATACAGTATCTTTTCTATCCTTCATCATGAATTGACCATCATCTTTCGTAAGACACTATTCCACAATGAACCTTTAGTTTGTTGACTATAAATAATAATAGGGAAATTGGGTAGAATAACCAAAAAAAATAAAAGCATAATTAACCATCTAACAAAAAAAAAGTAAAGTGTTTCTATTATTACTACAATATATACTATGTTTTCCCTGTCATCCGGTACTTTCTTTTTTTACCAATCACTACTACCTTAAAGATTAGTTATTGTTTTCTAAGTTTATCAATCACCACCACTACAATCTTCAATCACCACCACTACAATCATCACCTCCACCGCCTCTAAGTTCACCAACCAATAGGATAATGTTATTTCATATTTGATATCTTTAAAAAAAAAAAAAATCTTGTTAATTTATATTATTTTAAAAATACAAATAAATAAAAATAAAAATATTTACAAAAATGAAAAGAATTCTTTTAAAAATAAATTCTAATATTATATTATATTTTTAAAATAAAAATATAAGAATAAATTAAAAACATTAATAATTGCAAAAAAAATTAAAAAATATATTTTAATATATCTTTAAAGTGAAAAAAAATATTATTACATTATTATGTTTTTAAAATAAAAAAGATAAAAATAAATAAAAACAGTATAATTGGTTAGTATTAATGTTTTTGATTTAATGTTAAATATTTTTCCAAAGGATTTATGGTTTACTTAAGGGTTTAGGATTTATGATTAGGGTTTAGTGTTTTAGTATTAAAATATTTTTTTTCTCAAGTATTTTTCTCTTTTTTGTAAATATTATTATTTTTATTTAGTTTTTCTATTTTTATTTTAAAACATAATATAACTTAACAATATTTTATTTTCTTTACAAAAATATCAAATATGAAATAACACCATCCTATTGATTGGTGAACCTAGAAGTTCACCCTAAAAGGTAAATCCAAAAATAACTCATCTTCAATTACCACCACCCCAATTTTCAACTAGTAACCAAATACGTATTATTCATTTCATCACATGTATTTACCCTTGTTTCCTTCCTATCAGCCACCACCTATTCAATCACTATTACTTCTTCCTCTGTAACTCCTCACTGTAATCATCACGAGTTCCACAACTACATCCATCACTTGACCACTAACAGCAGCCTCTACCACCACAATCACCACCAAATCTATAATTTATTATATACTAGAGTTTTGGCCCGCCCTACGGGCGGGATATGAGATACGAAAATCAATATTACACCATAAACTATCATTAGTTATAATGGGTACTTTAAACTTTACTTTACTTTAAACTTAAATTGGTCATGGTCTTATTTTTCATTGTGTAGATTTTATTTTTATTTAAGCAAAAAAAAACCTACTACGTGCCACCGCAATATTTCAATATTTGTTTCTAACATTCTATTCGTTTAATAGTATAGATAAATAAGTCAGTATTATTTAGTTTGACAAACCATATTCAATAAATGTAAAAGTTGACTACATATTTGAAAATTACTTATATTTTGAAACAAAAATATTTCTCCAAAACTACTTATAAAAAGAAACGGAGGGAGTAATATATAAACATTTATTTAGATATACTATAGATGAATATTTGTTAATGATAATTTATATTTTCATGTTGTGTTTAAAAATGATACTTAAACATCTATCACTTTAGTATTTTGCGATATTTTATAAGTAAATATATTATTATTTTGATATTTTTTATAAACTATAAATAAATAAAATTCGCACGGTTGTGCGGATTATGATCTAGTCGTATTAAAAATGAAGTACAAATGAAAATTGTTTGAAAATATGGATAACAATAGAAACAAAAAAAATATAGAATTATTTGAAAACATGAATAGTAGTTTTTTTCTTTTATTAATGTTTTTTTAGTATTTTATTAACATGGATGTAATATTCTTTTTTCATTAATAAATATGTTAATTTATTTATATGATTAAGTGTGTTTAGTATAGTGTATTATTATAAAATTTGAGAGAAATATATATTTAGTTGATCAGACAAATATAATTAAATTATTTTATATAATAGAGTTGTGGATATTAACATATTAAATGAAGTAATTTTTTATAAATAATTATATGATGGTACGTATAAAATATTATATTAATTATATGATAAATTATATATTGACATATATACAATATAATTAATTATATGATACCACGTATAAAATATGATAAAGAATATCATCATATTAAAAAATAAACATCTGGGATGCGCAACTCACACTCTACTGCCCATTAAAACTAATGATGTTATATGTAATTTTTGAGTTTACTACCCCGCCAAATTTTAAAGTTACAACTCAAAAATGTCACTAAGATGAATTACCACACTCTATTCCAAATATTTGATCGAGTTTTATAATCAGCAAACATTTTTTCTGATTTGTATATGAACATTCATCACTTCACTGGAGTTATGCTACAAACAAATTAAACATATTAAATATATATAATATATACTATATATATTTACATACCAAATTATGTTTTATTATTACCAACTATTTTGTTCAAAAACAATTTGCATTATATATAAGCCTAAAACCAAATCTCAGGTAGTTCTTAATTCCTTGTCGTCTTACTCCAACTCCAAAGTAATTAATATCATATTTTGAAACACTATCTAAAGAGCTTATTATTGTTACCTGTCTCGTTCAGTGATATAATAATCAGCCAATGGTTTGTATCACATACTAACACGAAAACTGATTCGTGGTGGTTTTCTTTTTCATTAAGTAAAAAAAATACGACAACAACACGTTAAAAATTGATGATACATCTTCAATCAAAGTAAAGTTCTACCGTGAGAAGAACTCTTAAACGGGGAAAGAAATTGCAGCGTCTTATTCGTCTATTGGAATGTACACAAATGTTCTGATCAAAAGCAAAGGTTTCAGACTCTTGCTTATATATATATATCACTGTAAAGAAGAAAATAGCTAGAAGAAATGTGTTGTTCACCTGCTACTGTCTTTGTCAAAATGTTGGAAGGCTTCGTGAAGATTCTCATTACTTCCAAGCATTGTTGCAGTAATGAGCACGATTTAGTCTAATTACATTAGAGAGAGGAAGAGAGATTATGATCTTACGGAATGAGAGAGCTGTGAAAGATAAATTCTTTAGTTTTAGATGCAGAAACATAGCTCCATACCCAAAAGTTCTTCTTCTGATCCCGACGGACACAAAATGGCACCCCACTGTCAAGAAAGTATAGGATTGTAAGGAATGTGTTTGTAACTAAGCAGGCCTCATGAACATACAATAAGATCCTTGAATCATATAGACACTTCAGAATGTCTACTTATGCATATGGCTTCTTCATCTTTCTTGAGTGTGAAAGTCCTAGTAGAATGTTCTGGTGTGCCTCTGTGATTAATGCAAGGTAGCGAATCACATCGAACACAAAGAATCAATAAATCAAAGTTAATTAATAAAGTAAAAAGAGCAATGACTCACCAATATGCAATATCAAATACGCATTAATATCCCTGGATGAATACAGTAACGTAATCCTCATTCCCTGATGCAAGCTACTATATACAGTAACGTAGCATGTGCCATGACTTTCCTCAAACCCATGGTAGAGTTATGTTAATTTCTTCTAAATGTATCCAACACTCCAACAACCAAATAGGAAAAGCCTAGTGTACAGATGAGAAAGCATATATATGTTTAAGGAGGAAAATAAATTTGGAAAAGGATCCCTTGTAAAGTATGTTTAAGGGTTTAAACCTGGCAACTGGCAATTCAGTGGTTGTGTTGACAAGTGCCAAAAGCAAGTCGGCTCATTGGTTTCAGTGAGCTCAACCAACACGGTATGTTTAGTGAACCTAGTAGACACATGAGCATCCCCAAACTTGAAGCTCAGGAAGCTTCTTGCCACATCGAAGACACTTAGCTCATAAACTGAGCCTTCTTGCAAGACATGTCTGAAGGTGTTAAGCCGGTGAACATTGAGTGACCCTTGTATAAGCGTAGCCTGCGAGTGGAGAGGAGGGATCAGAGTAAACAATATTTAGACTCTCTAGAACTGTAATTAAAAAGTAAGATAATGTTACTATAAACCTTCGCATCAATTCACACCACCTTTCATAGCATTACGGGCTTCCCAAAAAATGTAGGAGTCTCGTTTGGACAATTTGTTTGCATCGGCCAGCCTTCAGCTCTGATAAATAAATAAGAGAAGTTGCCATAATCGATCAAGAACTAAATTAGGCATAAACTAAATCAAATAACAATCACTCGGAATTCAGAAAAGGTAAAGGATTAAGCTTATGCAATCTTCCTGTGTATATTTACACAGAACTAAGCTCCTCAAGGTGTGACTAAAGCTACACTGAAGAATGGTTAGTGGGATTAACTTGATTGCACGACGTTACTGCTGAGCGTCGCCATCATCGGAATCGGTTGTTAGAAGAAAGTAGTCTTCTCGATATCGTTCGAGTTGCGCTGTCCATCGTTGAAAGGTGAGATATTTAAACATCAAGCTTAAGGGCAGTCACTATGGGATGCGAAGAGGCCGATTGAATGACGTTATGGAGATAGGAACAGCAATTTAGGGTCTGTAGATTTTGTCGGCTAGGATACAAAGGTCGTGACTCGTGAGCATAATGAGGAAGAAGAAACCTAATACAAAGGTAGGCTTCACATAGTACTTTTACAGGCCCAATCAGAAGATGTATAGCCCAGTCCCGTCCCGTTTACAGACGAATTAGCCAAGAAAGGGGTTGGTTTGAGGAAGCGCCACGTGTCACCAAACCCCCATGCTCCAGGGTGATGTGGCAGCAGGAAAAAGCAGATAAGTCTACTTTATTATTTTAGATCTTTTGTGTCAACGCCCGAAGAATCCTCGCAGCCACCATCACTGAAATTTTAAAATTTTGCCTATACTATTTTTTTTATTTTTGACATATATAGTATAGTACTAATGTCACAATGTACTATGTGTATATTTTGATATTCCGATTAGGGTTTATATTTTTTTTAGGGTTTAATAATTAGTGTTTTGGGTTTAGTTTATGAAAAGTTTAAGTTGATGTTGGGGTAGATATTACCTCATTTATTGAAATCATAGATATTTCAAAATTTGAACAATGTATATTGTCATTACGTTTTTTACTATTCTATTTTGATACTGCTTCAAATTATTTACTATGTGCATATTTTGACATTTAGGTTGGGTTTATATTTCCATTTATGGTTTAGTGATTAGTGTTTTGAGTTTAGGTTATGGAAAGTTTGAGTTGACGTTGTGGTAAGAATTATCTTCTTCCCAACAATCATATACATTTCAAAATTTAAACAGTATATACTATGCTATTTCGTTTATTACTATTCTATTTTGATACTATTTCATATTATGTACTATGTGCATATTTTAATATTTGGGTTAGGCTTTATATATGTTTTTAGGATTTAGTGACTAATAATTTGGATTTAGTTAATGGAAGGTTTAGACTGATGTTAGGGTAAACATTACATCATTTCTTACAATCATAGACATTTTAAAATTTTGAACAATATATACTATACTATTTGATATGTTCCATTCTATTTATAATGTCTCTTTCTTCAACCCCAAATAACAACGTCAGTGATCACCCTGAGCACCACCACAACCATAGTAATCTTTTTTTTGTAACTAATCATAGTAATCTCTTTCATGAAAAATCATTACTTTTATGTATCCACAACTGCTTTATTCTCCATAATCACTAGTACAATAATTTCCACCACCAATGTTGTAACTACCACCACTGCATCTTCCGTCCACCACCGTGCATTCTCCATCGTTAAATACTATTAATTTTTTTACCAGTTATAGTCTTGATTTTTTAGGTCTACATGTTTTTCATCATCATCCTCATCATCATTTTTTTCTTCTTTCACCTGTAACTTGTTATAAAAAATGGTAAATACGGATAAAATTTGGAAAAAAAATTGTTATTGACTTAACAATATCAAAATTATAGCTATACTGTGACAAAAAGAAAGGCAAATTAACCCATAATAATATGAGGGTAAATAAAGTCATAAGTTAACATATTATGCTTAGTTTTTTTTTCTTAAAACGTCAAGTATAATGAGACAAAAAGAGTATAGAACAGTTTTTTAAAAGAAAACGGAGGAATAGTAATTTTGAAGATGTGGATATTACTCTTTCTAATTTATTAATAGATACAATTCGCTTCTTAATTTTCCTTCTCAAAATGTTTTCCTTAAAGCATCTCCAAAATAAACATAAAAACTTAAATATAAATTTTTTATATTCTAAAAGCAAATTCAAAACTTCATATTTGAAGCTTCATACTTTTAAATCCCATTAATTATCTATCTTTTAAATATTCGTCTTAATTTTTTACAATTATTATTTTAGGCCTTATAACTTTTTAATCTTTTGAAGAGTACAAATATATTAATAACAGTGAAAGGAAATATTATACAAAGTAATATTATAATACAAATTATAAAGAGAAAATATAAAATTATATGAAAAAAGTTGTTGCATCAACTAACGAAAGTACAAGATTTCAACAACTTTTGACATGTAATCTACAAATAAAACTAAAAGACTCATTTATTATTTTGAACTGCGTGTAATATGCTATTAAATGTATTATTTTACTAAAAATAGTGTGTATAATATTTTATTATATGTTCGGTTGCCAAATAAAAATATTATGATTTTTGTTAACTTTTATTAATAAGAAGGATTATAATATAAAAACTTTTAAAATTTGATTTTATAACATAAAATTTTAAAAAATTTGATTTAAAGTTGTTATTTTGAAAATGAACATTTTCAAACTTTAAATTTGAACTTTTGCCAACTTCAAAAATAAAATTGATTTTGGAGATGCTCTTACAAAAAAGGACCTGCAAGGAAGTTAAAGCATCATACCTACTCCTTGCCGATGATTAAAATAAGGGGTCGGCCAATGGGTCCAACCATGTGACATTTTACGGGAAACCTAGCGCCTAGCGGCATTAACTTCCTTCGTAATTTGTCTATATATATTTTCATTTTCAAACAAAAGCCCTCCACAAAAAGTAAAAACTAAAAGCTTCTTCTTCTAAAAATGGCAATGACAACAAATCTGGTGGCGGCCACAAGCAGAGCCGTCAAATTGCATGGCTTCAGCTTCTTATCCTCTGTCCTCAGCAGACCGAACCACTTCTTGGCTCGTCCTTTGCCAGAGTCGATGACACTAAGAGGCCAAACTTCTTGTTGTTATCGTGAAACCTCGTTGAAAGCTGTGTGGCCTGAGCCAGAACCAAGTAATGTCAGTGATGGAGTTGGAATCATCCGTTTCTTAAGAGGAAAAACCTATCTCATTACGGGTGCAACCGGTTTTCTTGCTAAAGGCAAGACAAGATCAAAAACAGAGTTTCTTCTTGTCCAAGTAAACTGATTTTCAGACTGATTTTCTAATCTTTTTTTTTTCCAGTGTTGATTGAGAAGTTATTGAGGGCAAGTCCTGAGATTGGGAAGATCTTCCTTTTGATCAAATCCAAGGATCAAGAATCAGCTAACAAGAGACTCTATGATGAGGTTTTGTTTTCACTCTCATCCTTACTCTTTTTTCTTCTTTCATTTTCAGTTTGCATCCATTTGTTTCTCACAGATCATAAGCTCGGATCTGTTCAACCATTTGAAGCAAATACACGGGAGCTCTTACGAAGCATTTATGAACAGAAAGTTGATTCCAATACTTGGAAACATTGGAGAAGACAATCTCGGGATCGGATCTGATATTGCAGCCAAGATCAGTGGTGAGATTGATGTCGTTATAAGCTGTGCAGGTCGCACAACATTTGACGACAGGTGTTTACTATGTTATTTTTTTTTTGCAACTAAGTGTTTACTATGTTTCTACTTCTTACTCTGTTTTATGTGTTTGTTACAAACAATTTGCATTCTAACCCAAGTAACTGTTACAGATACGACCTTGCTTTAAATGTCAACGCCCTTGGACCTTGTCGGCTCTTGAGCTTTGCCAAGGACTGCAAGAAACTGAAACTCTTTCTTCATTTCTCAACTGGTATGAGTTTATGTTATTCCAAATGGTTTATCGGTTCACTTTAAAAACATTTTCTAGAATAAATGCATGTGATGTACCACAAGATTTGATTGAATAAGTGTTACATTCATTTTCGTACCAGGAGTTCCAAGAACAATTTATATATTATTATTATTTTGTTGTATAGCTTATGTGACTGGTAAGAAAGAGGGAACAATACTAGAGACTCCTCTCTGCCTAGGAGAAAACATAACTTTTGACTTGAACATCAAACATGAGCTCAAATTAGCTTCGGAAGCTGTAAGAAAGTTACATGGCAGTGGAGAAATAAAGACGCTGAAAGAACTTGGTCTCCAAAGGTTAGGATGAAGGAGATTTTCTTTTTCTTTTAATAAATAAAGTTCTTAGTCTTACATCTCACTAAAGAGAGGCTCAAACCATTTTAAATTCACTCTCTTTTGGAGAGAAGACTTCTCCCAACGGAACTTGAATTGATGACCTCTCTGAGACACTTATTAGATAATTCAAAAGTTATAGGCCAACTCGTAGTTGGTAAGGATAAAATTTTCTCTTTGCACATTATTATGTTACTAAAATCTGAAACCATATGTTTTTACCTTAGAGCTCAGCACTATGGCTGGGAAAACACTTACACGTTCACAAAAGCAGTGGGTGAGACTTTAATCCAAACCAGGCGAGAAGATGTGCCTGTAGTGATCATAAGGCCTAGTATTGTAGAAAGCTCTTACAAGGAGCCTTTCCCTGGCTGGCTCCAAGGAATAAGGTTTAAGGTCTTCTTTGTTAAAGACAAAGGGATTAGATTAGCTTTTGCTTTCTGGTTTCTTGATTCATGTTTTTATGGTTTCTAAAAATCAGGATGAGTGATCCAATAATCTTGGCCTATGGCAAAGGCCAGATTTCTGGCCTCTGGGGAGATTCTCAATCTTTAGCGGACATTATACCTGTTGATATGGTTGTGAACGCGACAATAGCAGCAATGGCAAAGCATGGCTGTGGTTTCTCCGAGCTCAAAGTTTACAATATCACTTCTTCTCATGCGAATCCCCTACGAGTTGGCGAGTTTATGGACCTCGCTTATCAACATCTGTGTGACTTTCCATTGACACTTACAGACTTAACGCGAATGAAATTCCACAGTTCCTTAGAGGGTTTCACCTCCTCTGTATTCGACATAATAGCAAACCGGGAAAGGGGAACTAAGAATGAAAGAGGAGAAGCAGAGTCAAATACCGTTTTGAGCTTCAAGGGAAGAAGGATACTAGACTATTTCGTTTCCCTGGCAATAATATATGAGCCTTACACGTTCTTTCAAGCTCGGTAACCACACACTTGGACTTGTTCTTTTACCAGGCAAAAAGCTATTAGATTACTGACTCTTGGTCAATATCCTAGGTTTGATGATACCAATACAAGGAGTCTTATTCAAGAGCTGTCAATGGAAGAGAGAGATATGTTTGACTTCGATATCAAAAGCATTAACTGGGAGCATTACATGGTAAACATTCATCTTCCAGGTCTCAAAATAGAAATCTGCAAGGAAAAATCAAGTTGAAAGAAAGTGATTTGATTGGTACAACTGCTTGAGTTCACCAAGTGCATCCCCTATTGTGTATCTATACTATTAAAACATAATCCTTATTATGGTTATGTCTTTACTTTTCATTTATAACTACATTACCATGCCACTTCTATATTTATGACTAATTAACAACATTAATTATTTTAAAAATATTTTATAGATACAATATACCTAATTACCCATAGTATAATCCTCATCCCAACGAATATTGTAGACTAGTAGTTTTTCTATGTCATGCGAAAAATTAATAGTTTTAAATATAAAATTATTTTTAAAAAAAAAAAATAGTTTACAATGTGACATTATTTTTTTCTATTTTAACTTTATTAGTTTGGAATACATAAATAACAAATGTATTTTTGCACTTATATTATTTTTATTTGGTTTAAAAATTTAACATTGATTTTATTTTTATTTCAGTAAGATTAAAATAATATTTTATAAAACAATATTTTATTCTATTTAATTAATATTAATTTAGATATGTTTATCGCCTAGTTTTAAATATATATATATATATATATATATGTATATATTTAGATATATTATTTTCTTTTAAAAAAACAGTTTACATTGGACCTTATTAATATTATATCTTAACTTCATCGGTGTTCATTTTAAAAATATTATTTATTAATTATTAATATATTTAATTTTTTTTTACTAAAATTAGTATTTATAAAAAAAATTACATGACGGTGATATTAGTTAATAGTCATTTAAAAAACATATCAAAAAGTATAACTTTTTATAAGGAAAATTATATATGTCATAATAATAATAACGCCATCTCATCATTTTTTCATAGCCTTGTTATCATTTTTGTAAAAATTGATAACAAATATATAAATAAATTCAAAAATAATGCCGAATAGTGTTTTCCTGCACAATATGGATCAATAAGAAAATATATTAAATTAAATTTAAAAATACTTTTTTTAAATATTCAAGATTTATTATTTTCTTACTAATATTTAATACAAATTTGAGTTTAATTAAACATAAACTAAGTTAAAATTTTTTATTTATTTATTTTAAATTATATTTAAGAAAGCATATATATATATATATAAACTTAAAATCTTAGATAAATTTCTGATTATTTCTTTGGGTTAAATTAAATTAATTAGTGATAAAAATATATATTTAAATATTATTTTTGAAAAATGATATAATTTTTTTATAATTATCAAAACAATAAAACTAATCATAATTTCTAAGATTTGTAGATATCAAAATGAAACAAATAATGTTACGATTAAAATATTATAATTTTTAACAAATTAAAATTTTAAAATATTGTTTAGTAATAAAAATTGTAGGATTATAAAAGTTGACTTAAATATATTTTCAAATTTAATAAAATATTTTATATTTCCATCATTATATTATTAAATTTCATATTTAAATTGATTTATTGTACTGGTGACGTATAAATTATTCTATATTTTAATTATTTTATCAAATATATAAATTTACATTATATATAATGGTCATGTCATCAACTCTAGCATGCCATGTTATTTTTTTGATGAAATTGATAGTGGAAATGACATATTTAAAATTACTTCTCAATTAATTAGGTGTTTTCTTGACCATATACATCAGCAGAAAAATTATATTATATTTAAAAATAAAATTCTGTTAATATTCTAAACTTCATTATTTTGATACTAATTTTTAATGCAAATTTAGTTTCTTTTAAAACTAAATTAAATAAAAATAAAACTTTGATTTATTATAAATTATATTTAATATATATATATATGTTTAAAATTTGTAAACATAGACAGATTTTCAATTATTTCCTTTCGTTAAGATATACTTAATAAAAAAAAATTTAAACTTACAATTTTTAGATATATAAATGAAACAGATGATGTTACAAAAGTTCATAATTTTGTAAAAATATTATATAAAAAATATTTAGTAATAAAAATTATATGATTATAAAAATAGATTTAAATAATATTTAGATTCTTATATTATTAAGTAGTTAATAAAATTATTTTAATGATTTCACTACAAGAAAACTAAGATTTTACTAGGAAATTAATTCCTCGTAAATTTATTAGGAGTTTACTTCAGATTTACGAGGAAAACAAGTTTTTTCGTAAAGGTACGAGAAAACGTTTTCCTCGTAAAACCGTAGTAAACTTACGAGGAAATTATGTGGCAAATGACCATTTCCTCGTAATATTGTAGTAAATACTTTCCTCGTAAATCCTAGTAAATTATTACTACGAGATTAGGAGGAAATGATCTTTTACTTCAAATTAGCGAGTAACTGGATAGAAAATATATAATTTAAATCTAAAACGTGTTTTGTACCTACCTTTCCTAGCAATTTCCTATTAAATGCTCAGATTCGAAAATCTGTATAAGTACCACCATTTGTGATTCATTTCAAACACTCCAAAAAAATAAGCTTTAAGCTTAATCAAAGACAAAAAAAAAATGTCCGGTCCGGGAAATATTTTCGAGTTGCGGAAGTGGATGTATTCACACAGAGATAATAACAGGAGAGTGACGAAAGAATTTCTCGAAGGGTTGGAGACGTTTATGCATCAAGCAGATTCTACACCACTCACGCAGGAAAGTGGTAAGATGTTCTGTCATTGTCGGAAATGATGCAATACAAAATTAGGTCCTCGTGAAAATGTTTGGAAGCATGTAATAAATAGAGGTTTCATGCCATATTATTATCTTTGGTATCAACATGGAGAAGATGCTAGTTGTAGGAATGAAGGTACCAGTAGTAATTGCAATTTTCAGGTTGAACAGGTTGATCATTTGCGTAATGAAAATAGCTATCATCACCAAGAGGAAAAATGGTAGATTGTGATAGGGTTCATGATATGGTAGGTGATGCATTTTTAACTCATGATGATGATGAAGTTTAAGAACCTAACTTAAATGCAAAAAGTTTTATGAAATCTTAGAAGCTGCGAATGAGCCAATTTACAGTGGTTGTAGAGAAGGTATTAAATCCGATCACAATCTACCTGAAAATTGTATGGATGCATGGGCAGACTTGTTTAAAGAGTATTTGAAGACAATGTGTCTGATCAATCTTATTATCAGATTTAGAAATTGGTATATAGTCTTGGGTTGCCCTCGGAGATGATAGATGTTTGCATCGACAACTGCATGATTTACTGGGGAGATGATGAGAAGTTAGAAGAATGTTGATTTTGTAAGAGGCCACGATTTAAACCGCAAGGTCGAGGGCGTAATAGGGTACCGTACCAAAGGATGTGGTACCTACCAATCACAGACAGATTAAAAGATTGTACCAATCTGAGGAGACTGCTGGAGGGATGAGATGACACGCCGAGCATACTCAGACGGATGGAGAGATGAATCATCCATCAGATGCAAGAGCCTGGAAACATTTTAACAATGTACATCCACATTTCGCTAGCAATAGCCGGAATGTGTATCTTGGATTATGCACTGATGGATTTAGTCCATTTGGAATGTCAGGGAGACAATATTCATTGTGGCCGGTCTTTCTTACACCGTACAACCTGCCACCGGAGATGTGCATGCGACGAGAGTTTCTATTCTTAACCATATTAATATCTGGTCCAAAGCATCCAAAAAGATCTCTCAACGTTTTTCTACAACCACTGATAAAAGAGTTGAAAGATTTGTGGTCAACAGGGGTGAGGACATATGATTGTTCAACGAAAACAAATTTTACGATGCGAGCGATGCTTTTGTGGACCATAAGTGACTTTCCTGCATATGGGATGTTGTCTGGGTGGACTACACATGGGAGATTGCTTGTCCATATTGTAATGGAATGACAGATCCGTTTCAGTTGAAGCATGGTAGGAAGACTAGTTGGTTCGATTATCACCGTCGATTACTTCCCGTTTATCACCCATACCAAAGAAACAAGACATTGTTCAGGCACAAAAGGGTTGTCAGAGACACTCCTCCTCCATATTTAACTGGAGAAAAATCGAAGCGAAATCGATTACTACGGTGCTCTAGAAACAGCTATTCGTGGTGGGAATTGGCATGTTCCCAGTAATATGCCTGATTCTTATGGTGTTCAGCTTAATTGGCACAAAAGAGTATATTTTGGGAATTGCCATATTGGAAAGATCTTCTTTTGCGCCACAACCTCGATGTGATGCATATAGAGAATAACTTTTTTGAAAACATTGTGAACACTATATTGAATGTCCCAGGGAAGACGAAAGACAACGTAAAATCGAGGTTGGACTTACCCGATATCTGCTCAAGGAGTGAGCTACATATAAAAAGCAATGGACAAGTTCTAGTTCCGATATTCAGACTGTCATCAGAAAAAAATCTGTGTTCTTCAACTGGGTGGCTTCAGAAGTGAAGTTCCCTGATGGTTATGTCAAGATGTGTTCAGAAAGGGCAAAAGTTCTCCGGGATGAAGAGCCATGATTGTCATGTCTTTATGCAGCGACTACTTCCCTTTGCATTTGCAGAGCTACTACCAGCAAAAGTACATGAAGCACTTTCAGATAATTAATATAATACGACGCAAAGATTAATTTATTTCTTTATATATATATATATATATATATATATATATATATATATATATATATATATATATATATATACTAATGTGTATAATTTTTGTTTTTGTAATATATAAGGAATTGGAGCATTTTTTAGGGATCTGAGCACCCGCACTCTTAAAGAAAAAGTTGTCCAACAACTTCATGAAAACATCTCCATCTTAATCTACAACTTGGAGAAAATATTTTCGCCTACTTTTTTTGACGTCATGGAACACCTAGTTGTCCACCTCCCGTATGAGACATTACTTCGTGGACCTCTGCATTATGGATGGATGTATCAGTATGAAAGGGCCATGAAAACTTTGAAAAGAAAAGCCAAAAACCTAGCAAGAGTTGAAGGTTCTATTATTGCGGAAAGTTTGACGGAAGAAAC